CATGACATATCTCACTATTTTTATAATGACACACGTGACACGTGATGTATGTACTATTCCGTGTACCAGTCAATTATAATTTATACGTACAAAATAAATAGATTTAAATCTACTTAATAAATATATATATACACACACACACACGGAACTTGATTGATGGCATACAAATTCTCCAAAACTAATTTCAACGATCCAAACAGTCAAAATTGTTTGTATATGATTGGAGATCACATCAACAAAAAATCACAAAAAAAAAAACATTCAGAGATCAAGTAACGGGACAAAGCTTTTCAACGGTTATAAACGAAAAATCACGATTTAACGGTTATTTTAACTCCGATTTTGATGATTTTTTATAACTACACTCCTTGACCCTATATGAATACAATGAATGAATTCGATCTTCAATTTAAAATATTTACACAAGTGGATACCACAAAATCTTATGTTATACTTAATAAAAGTATAAATAAACTCTAAATGTTAGTCAATCTATCGTTTTATGAATTCTCCAAAACTAATTTCAACGATCCAAACCGTCAAAATTGTTTGTATATGCTTGGAGATCACATCAGCAAAAAATCACAAAAAAAAAAAACATTCAGAGATCAAGTAATGGGACAAAGCTTTTCAACGGTTATAAACGAAAAATCACGATTTAACGGTTATTTTAACTCCGATTTTGATGATTTTTTATAACTACACTCCTTGACCCTATATGAATACAATGAATGAATTCGATCTTCAATTTAAAATATTTACACAAGTGGATACCACAAAATCTTATGTTATACTTAATGAAAGTATAAATAAACTCTAAGTGTTAGTCAATCTATCGTTTTACGAATTCTCCAAAACTAATTTCAACGATCCAAACCATCAAAATTGTTTGTATATGCTTGGAGATCACATCAGCAAAAAATCACAAAAAAAAAACATTCAGAGAACAAGTAACGGGACAAAGCTTTTCAACGGTTATAAACGAAAAATCACGATTTAACGGTTATTTTAACTCCGATTTTGATTATTTTTTATAACTACACTCCTTGACCCTATATGAATACAATGAATAAATTCGATCTTCAATTTAAAATATTTACACAAGTGGATACCACAAAATCTTATGTTATACTTAATGAAAGTATAAATAAACTTTAAATGTTAGTCAATCTATCGTTTTACGAATTCTCCAAAACTAATTTCAACGATCCAAACCGTCAAAATTGTTTGTATATGCTTGGAGATCACATCAGCAAAAAATCACAAAAAAACAAACATTCAGAGATCAAGTAACGGGACAAAGCTTTTCAACGGTTATAAACGAAAAATCACGATTTAACGGTTATTTTTACTCCGATTTTGATGATTTTTAATAACTACACTCCTTGACCCTATATGAATACAATGAATGGATTTGATCTTCAATTTAAAATATTTACACAAGTGGATACCACAAAATCTTATGTTATACTTAATGAAAGTATAAATAAACTCTAAGTGTTAGTCAATCTATCGTTTTACGAATTCTCCAAAACTAATTTCAACGATCCAAACCGTCAAAATTGTTTGTATATGCTTGGAGATCACATCAGCAAAAAATCACAAAAAAAAAACATTCAGAGATCAAGTAACGGGACAAAGCTTTTCAACGGTTATAAACGAAAAATCATGATTTAACGGTTATTTTAACTCCGATTTTGATGATTTTTTATAACTACACTCCTTGACCCTATATGAATACAATGAATGAATTCGATCTTCAATTTAAAATATTTACACAAGTGGATACCACAAAATCTTATGTTATACTTAATAAAAGTATAAATAAACTCTAAGTGTTAGTCAATCTATCGTTTTACGAATTCTCCAAAACTAATTTCAACAATCCAAACCGTCAAAATTGTTTGTATATGCTTGGAGATCACATCAGCAAAAAATCACAAAAAAAAAACATTCAGAGATCAAGTAACGGGACAAAGCTTTCAACGGTTATAAACGAAAAATCACGATTTAACGGTTATTTTAACTCCGATTTTGATGATTTTTTATAACTACACTCCTTGACCCTATATGAATACAATGAATGAATTTGATCTTCAATTTAAAATATTTACACAAGTGGATACCACAAAATCTTATGTTATACTTAATGAAAGTATAAATAAACTCTAAGTGTTAGTCAATCTATCGTTTTACGAATTCTCCAAAACTAATTTCAACGATCCAAACCGTCAAAATTGTTTGTATATGCTTGGAGATCACATCAGCAAAAAATCACAAAAAAAAAACATTCAGAGATCAAGTAACAGGACAAAGCTTTTCGACGGTTATAAATGAAAAATCAAGATTTAACGGTTATTTTAACTCTGATTTTGATGAATTTTTACAGCTACACTCCTTGACCCTATATGAATACAAAGAATGAATTTGATCTTCAATTTAAAATATTTACACTAGTGGATGTGGATATCACAAAATCTTATGTTATAATTTATATACTTAATAAAAGTATGAATCAACTATAATATTAATAATTATATACATTAATTTAATAATTTTATATCCCTAAAAAGTAAAAACTATAATAATTATATAGATGTAGGTGTAAATTGAATACAATTTCATGATGATCGATGTAAATTGAAGATTTTGTAAATGGAGGTGTAAACTTTTGAGAAAGACTTACAATCTTAAAAACAAAATCTCTTTATCCTTGCACATTTAATATTTGTAATATATTAGTAGTGTATGTATTATTTTTTTTATTAGGCTTTTATTTTCGAGTGTAGATATAGTACTTGACGAGAAATGTTTTAATGTTTTGAAGTAATATTTATGTAGCAATGTGTGGTATGTGCAAATTTAAAAAAATATATTTTTTTCTTAACGGGTCATAATGGGTCATAAGACTCATAACGGGTCGGGTCACTTTACCCGTTGGGTAAAGTGACACGACCTGTTAAGGACCCGTTAAGATAACGGGTGTGACACGACACGACCCGTTAAGATAACAAGTGTTACACGAAAACGACACGAACACGATAGACACGACCCGTTTGCCAGGCCTAATGTAGAGGTATGGCACACAAAAATGTAAACTTCTTTGGTTACATAAACTTTTGAGATGTCGTGGCTTTGAACCAAAGGAGGCTATGAAGTTATATCATGACAATAAATTTGCAAGGGAGATAAAAGATAATCTGATACAACATGATTGAACAAAGCATGTGAAGGTTGATTGACACTTTGTCAAAGAAAATCTTGAAATGAAGATTGTCTATACGGTTTGTGAATTCAGAGGAGCAGTTGGCTGATGTTCTTACCCATCGAGTATCTAGCAAAGTTTTTTAGGACCTAATTATCAAGTTGGGCATGTATGATATCTATGCACCAACTTGAGGGGGATTGTTGATTTGAGTCTTAATTGCAAATATTCTAGGAATCCTATTTTAGGTAAGATTAGGTTTTATAATTGGTTGTAGTCTCTTGTATTTAGTTTTCGTATCGTTATAATTATATTCCTTGTAGTAAGGCATATGTGCCTATATACTGTAAACCCTAAAAGATAGCTAAATTAACGAAATATTTTGGATGTATTTCTCGAAATGCTACATACCAGGTGAGGTTCCTTTAAACCGGACATCCAAGGAATATTGGTTAGGCTGATTCATTACAATCTGAGATTAAAAGCAAAGAAACCCTCCCAACAACCAATCAAAACAAACAGAAAATCATCCATTTGAAACGTAGAAATATATGTTTGATGAGGCTGATTCATTTTCAGCAGTTCTTATTATTTTTCATCCATGACTGAAAATGTTGGTGGGGCTAAATTTAATTGGAGTGTTTTGTATGTTAATGGGCTGATTCATTATTCATCTGAAAATTATGGTGGGGAATGGAGAAACATATTACAGGCCAAAAAGGGACAAGGAGAGAAGTGAACAAGAGAAAATGTTGCGGTTTTGATCCCCGATTTTTCTATTTCATTTTAATCACACGACATTTAATAAAGTTAAAATATCAAATGCAAAGGTCAGCGCACAATTTAGTAGCGTTTCACAGCCTAAAATGGGGAACATGATTAGTGCAGGCATTAACAAAAGCATGTCTTACAATACTTATATTTACAGAATGACGATATTGCACGACACTTCATCTAGAAAGTTGTAGCCACTGGTGATTATTATATGAGTAAGGCTTCGTTTTTGCTGATACTTATCATTCATACTCGCCATATTTTATTTGTGGTTTCAATAATGCAGCTAATTATTAAATGAAGTTTCGTTTGTGTCGGTGTCCTTTGTTTGGCTATTTGTTTTTATTTTTTTGTTATATTTTTTTTAGATGAAATCGGACCAATGATACTCAATAGTGATAAAGTGTTCCAAAGATAAACTATTGGTATAAAGAATTTGAGGGCGTAATTAGATTAATAGTCTCCTCAATAATAGGGTAATCAGAAGATAAAAAATTAGAATTTAAATCACTATGGTGAAGTTTATCAGGTAGGCACAAAATTGAAAGTTCAGTCAATTTTCATTAATTGTTAACACGTGAGCATCACATATGAGGCTAAAAAGATAAAGTTTGCCTCACATGCTAACAATTAATGAAAAATTTTGTTTTAGCTATACATGCGTGGCTCACGTGCTAATAATTAGCGGAGAGTTTATGGAACTTTTAATTATGGATCTAAATTAATTTTGGCAGACTTCACCATAGGGGTTTGAATCCTACTTCTTTTACCACATGGGCCATCTTCTGACTGCTCTATCACCACGAGGACTAATAAACCAATTAGACCAAATTAGTTCTGAAATTCTTATGATGAAGATGGTTTACAAATTCAAAAATGCTACTCTTACCAAATATTTGTATCATCTCTCTAATAGAAATTAGACCCACATATCCTAGTGAGCCCCTCCTCCATTAAAAAAATGATACAGATGAGAGTAAAAATATGTGGTAAGTGTAGCATTACTCTAACAAATTTAATCCAAAAATGACATTTTATATTCGGAAGATAGGCTATGAGTAGGTTTCAATAATGCAGAAAATTATAAACATGCTCCACTTTTTTCTCTCATACACAATTCTTCATCTCAGACTATTAAATTGAATAAATCAAAGTAAAATACAGACATGATTCAACAAAGAGAAAAGTATTTTGTTGTTAATATTTTCTTTTCAATTAATCATCTGTTTTAGTTACTTTAACCGATTATAAATACAAACCATTGTGCACGGTACCAACACAACTCAACCCATATCCCCTTAACAAATGCACAAGATGAGATTCCTACTAGCAGCTGCATGCCTTGTTCTCGCAAGTTGCCTCAACGTCCGAGTTATAGAGGGCCGTCCGGGAGACATCGAATTCTCTACTCAGGATGCCACCGACGACTCATACCAGAACTTTATTAGTGCACTGCGCGGCCTACTGACGAGGGGAACGACCACGGTACATGATATATCAGTGCTGAATTCGAAACCATTCATTTTGGTTGATCTTTCAAACCGTATTGGAAGCACCATCATCCTAGCAATAGACAAGGAGAATACCAATGTGGTGGCTTATGTTGCGGGCGACAAATCCTACTTTCTCAAAGACGCTCCGGTTGCAGCTCTCAACACTTTATTCCCTCCCACAACGAGCTTTTATCTTCCATTTACTTCTAGCTATACTGACCTCGAGAAAGCTGGTCGTAAATCCAGGTGGGAAATCCCTCTAGGACTCACTCCCCTGGACAATGCCATCACCACGTTGTGGGAGGGAGGTGATTCCAAAGCCGCGCAGTCCCTTCTGGTGGCCACACAGATAGTTTTAGAAGCAGCGAAGTCCATAATAGTTGAGCAACGTGTCCGGGATAGCATACAAGACAAAGGTGACTTCTTGCCGGACGCTGGAATCCTAGCCAACAGGGAATTCTAGACGGCAGTGGCTGTCCTTTGGGTGGATGCCATGCATGCTCCTACATCTAAGTATGTATATCTATGTTATTAGGTACTTTGTCCTCAACGTAACCACACATAAGGTACTTCTATAGCATGTTTGGATAACAAGCTTTTGTAAAAAGAACCAAAATAAGTGTGCAATTATGTAACAACTATGCTTATTCCAAGAATCAAGAGGACAAGGGACTTGATTTTGCTTTCAGATTTTAGTTTCTGAATACGGTGTATGATCTTTTAATTACTTATCTCATCACGTGAAGGAGAGCACAAATTTATGGGTTTGAGACGGGATGGCCATATATACTTAGGATTCGGATCCTCTGCTTGATTTGTGTAATGGTAGGATCTACTCTTATTAGACAGCAACTAGTGTGTCAAGAGCACGAATTCATGAGGCTTGATCATGTTATTAGACAGCAACTAGTGTGCCTAGTCCACATGTTAGGCTTGATCATTTTCCACAAGTGAGGGGACGTGCCGAAAATGAATCTCACATTGGGAAAAGAATGGACCTTACATGTGCTTATAGTAATTGGGTCTCTCCTCATATAACCAATTGATTTTATGGTGAAACCTCAAACTTTCAAAAAAAATCAAAGTTGCTATACAAAGGCTTGCGGTACACTACAATCTATATAATAGAAAGTGAGAGCCCCAAAGGGGTCACACATGCTGACAAAAATTTGGGGTCATGCCATTCGACAAAAAATATTAGGACAGAATTGCCCCTCAACCAAAAAAATCCAAAAGCATCCCAATATAATATATCAAATAATGCAGTGGTAATTTGGTAATTTGGTCATCTTAAAATATAATATAAATATAAGTAGGAAGAGAGAAAAGAATAAAAAAATGAAAGGATAAGTAAAAGTTGATGGTGCCCAAGTGAAGGGGAAAGAAAAATATAATAAAAAATAAGAAAAATGATGAATATTGTGTTTAAAACATCTTAAGAGGTGCATAGTGCCGGTGATAAATTAGTAAATTTTAAAAAAAAAAAAAAAAATTAGTACCTTACAATAAGTTAGCAATAATTTGATTCAATCAATTGTTTATTAAATATTATTTTATTTATAAAAAAGGTCTTTCGCACGCAAATAATAATGCGATTAAATTAATTGTCAAATGATTTTTTTTTTTAACAAACAATATTATCTACACTGAGGAGGAGGTGGGTTTAGCCTTACAATGGGCTAGCAATAATATGATTCAATCAATTGTTTATTAAATATTATTTTCTCTATTCTTAATGTAAATTTTATTGAAACCAATTTTATTATGTGAATTCAACTGTTTTAATTGGTTTATGAGAGGTTTCTTCTAGCACAATCTAAAATTATTCATTTACTACAAATAATTAACTTTCCTTTTGTCAATTTACGCATATAAATACATTTAAAACGTGTAAGTCGCGTGTAGTACGCCGTGATTCAAAAATGTTTTCTACACGCACATGAGCACATGTATGAAGGCTAGTTACCTATAAGCACATAGGTCTCTTTCCTCAACTTTCAATTGATTTTATATTATGAGACATTCTATTACAATTACATTTAAATGGGGAGCAACAAAAGAAGCGCCTGCTCCATACAATTATATTTAAATCGTGTGTTCGACATGCAGACCGATCGACCAGATTGTAACATGGGGTTTCGACTTTAAAGGTTCTTCAGCACTAAAGCGAAGTGTATGAGAGGCAGCAGGGATCTCACAAAGAGGCTCGCACTTAAACACATGTTTGGAATAGGTCCTTAAAGCAGTTCCGCTGTTGTTAGGCTCCCTGGACAAGAGGCAACTCAAACCCTTTAAATGAACAACTGTCTGCAGTGAACAATAATTGCCCAAGTGCATCTTCACCTCTAAACTGAATAGCCCAAGCAAATGAAAGCAACCGTAGCCTGCCAAATGAATCAGCCATTGCTACGCAATGCTTCTCTTGATCATCGGTCACTCAAACTACATCCATAAACTTCAATGACCCAATAGACAGGTTTGCATGAAAAAGCTTTTGGACAATGGTAAGAGGATGGGAGTCGGATCACATTCGAAACGCTGTCGTTTGCGAGTGGTGGCTCGTGGCTGAGTAGGCCGAGCAGGGAGAGTTCTCAGAAGAGTGCGACTCACTCTGGTCATCGATGAGCCTCTCTCAGACTCCAGACCCTCACGTAGAAGAAAACGGCATGTTTATTTATCATTTTAGAGAATTTATTTGGAAGATTGGGTGAAAATCGAGATGAATTTACAAATCTCAATTGATGAACGGATTAAAATTAAAGTACAAAAGACATCGATCAAATGCTGACATATTGCTCACTCCAACATTGACGACATATTTGATCGAATGCTAAAAATGATCATTTCCGCAATTGAGGTGGTAAGTTCATCATGTCATCCCATCTCAAAGCTGAGTGAAAGCCACCAAGTAAAAGAATAATCAACCTTAAATTTTTCTAACTACTGAAACATGAATTAGAATTTGGGTGCAAAAGAGGACGACAAAGTTCAGCTCGAGTAAAAAAATTCCTATGCGGCTACGATCATTCGTGTCAATTGCAGCACTTGCCGACGACCGCCCAAAGAGCGGGCATGCGCAACTGAATTCGGGCACTCCTCAGTTTTGGAAAAGTTCAATGACTATTAAAATCATAACCAATCAAGATTCTTACTCAGCAAATCACAACTCAGAACGTTTACATATAAATTATCATGGAAAATTATAACTACTGCAATCAGAAGCGGCATGTTTAAATTTAAAAGCCGACCCCCCCAATTGTCCAATTCTTCTTTTTCCGGTCGAAGTTTGCTCAATTCAGCGGACCTGAATATCACCAATTTGACCGGAACATAGTCCTAAATTAACTTTACCGGTTGACCACTGAACACAAAATTGACCTACTACCTTATATACAGCAGCCTACAAGAACTCCCTGGCAGAGTACATATGCCTTCGACTCAAAGATCGATTTACTGAGGATGACCATTTTTTGTTTGAGGAACCTGAGTGCTCACGTTGGCAATCAATGACTGTTGAGCGGCAACAAGATGTGGTGGAGCAGACAGATTTGACGGGGGTCTTGAAGCAGCAGGAGTTGGTTGGGTTGGCTGAATAATGAACTGGTTGAGAGCAGCAGAGTAAGCCCGACCTGACAGGCTTCCACGCATCCGACCTGTTGGTCGCCAGTTCTCTCCAGATGACAAGTCTGGTGATCCATCTGCCCCTGATACTGCTTGCACGGTTTCTACTACGTTTCTGCTCTGCTCCAGTGCAGCTGTCCTGAAACCTTCAGCATTTGCTGGCAAAATTGCCCTGTTTCTTGGAGATTGATTTTGAACTGGCGTCGATGGAGACTGCCTGGCCATCATAGCAACTCGCTGCTGCTGACCAATCACAAACCTTTGTTGGTTGTCTAAAGAACTAGACGTTTGACCAGTCTCAACTCGTACACTTCCTTGCTGAATATGGGCCCGCAAGAGATGTGAAGATGATCGATTGGCGCTTGAAAGCTGACCTACAGTCTGGGGAGTCCGTGGATTAAAAGCTTGCTGCAGATGTGCATTTTGGAACTCCATAAGCCCAAGAGATGTTCGGTTAGCACTCTGCAGTTGACTCGGAGCTGGAAGGCCAACAACCTGTTGGGCAGATTGGCCATGACGATCCCAGTTCTGCAAGATTAATGAAATGCAACTCATTAGCATGACAAAATGGACACCAAGAAAATTTCATTTAGATTGGAATTCCGTAAATTAGCAATGAAAAAGTCTCTACAATGCTTTGGCCAACAACCAATCAAACTGAAAAGTGCTGATTAAAAGTGAAGAATTTGAGGAACCAATCAAACTGAAAATTGTTGATTAAAAATGAAGAATTTGAGGAGCCAATCAAACTGAAAAGTGTTGATTAAAAATCAAGAATTTGAGGCCCAGGGTTCCCAACTTGTATTTATAATGGTCGCCACCAGCAAACAAAATGGACTTCAAGAAAAGAAGGGAGCATTAACCTGTGTTGTTTGTGAGGGCGGTTGCATTGACGATGGAGCAATATTTGACACTTGAGGCGGACTCATTCGGGGCCTAGAAAAGTGTTGCTGTCTTTCCACATCACTACATACTGCAGGGACACCATTTGCTGTGGGTGTGATAGACTGGCCAACCTGAGAACTAAGAGAGGCACTAGGGGGAGTATTGAAACTAGTTCTAGATCTTTGCTGCAATCCTGACGTCTGGGCAGGAAGGGCCTGAACTGCTGTTGGTGTCCTAGGTAATACTGTGTTAGCAAGTCTCCCATACTCATTGCTAACAGTAGCATTTGAACTTGCAAACTGCGGCTGTTGTAACTGCAAATTATTGGAAGAATATTGAGTATGCATTGCAGATGCCACAAGATCAGTGTTCACACGACTCTCAGTTTCTCGATCAAGCACAGGAGAAACGGCATCAGTCAACACAGGCAGGTGTAAATAATTTGCAGGACCAGAGTGAGAGATACCACCATCCATCTGGGTGTCTGACCTTATACCGGAAGTCAACGAACCATTAGGTAAGTAAATGCCAGACCAAAAGTCGTCCTCTAGATGAGCAGGAACAGTTTGATTAACCCTGTTTGTGTTGCAAAGAGGTTTTACGTCTTCGGTTTCGCAAGCACTCAAAGTGTCCATCTCAGTATCATCCTCAGTAAGATCCAAAACAATAGGAAGTGCAGATGAGACACGGGTAGATTCTTCCTGTTCAGAAATTTCATTTTGAAAGGCCTTATCATGTGCTTGACCTAGATCATCATCATTCTCCAGTCCAGCTTTCCATGATCCATCCATAGAGATTATTACTTCAGCAACATTCTCTCCTACCTCTCTCAGGACCTAGGGGAGAAAAGCAACTGATTTTATAATATTGGGTAAAAAATAACACAAACAGACAGGACAATGCAAATAAATAGCTACTTGCCTTAACCATATTTTGATCAACGCGGAGGTCCAAATAGCACACATACTGATTACAGTGGGGGCAGCGCCACGAAGGTCGTCTTAAATTTATATTGACGTAATTACCGAAGTCGAAACACTATAGCTCATATAAGCGACAGAAAATTATATTAGAAGACAGTATTGACTATAGTTACAAGAAAATATATTACCATGTACAACTACAATCACAGAATAACTTCAAATTTCACCAATTACCCAAAGCTCGAAACAGAAAAAATCAACGCAGGAC